CTCCCTACTTTTTTATTTCCCTTACCTGTCCGGTCCCCCTGAAAAGCCCCCTTTAACCCCCATTGACCTGTACCGGTACCCCCCCTTATATCCTCCCCGGTTTTTTTCCCATTGATTTACCAAACCCCCGGGTTTTTGTGGTAAACCCCCCCCTGTTATACCCCCTACTGTTATTTCCCTTGACTCTGTCCGTCCCCCCCCACCCCCCTTTAAAGCCCCCTACTTTTTTTCCCATTGACCTGTACCTACCCCTTATAAGCCTCCCTACTTTTTATTTCCCTTTTGACTCTTACCGGTCCCCCCCTGTATATCCTCCCTATTTTTTTTTTTCCCATTGACTCTGTCCCTTTTACCCCCCCCTGTAATAACCCCTACTTTTATTTCCCTGACTCTGTCCGGTACCCCCCTGTATATGCCTCCCTACGTTTTTCCCATTGACTCGTCCCGTCCCCCACCCCCCTGTATATACCTCCCTACTGTTTTTCCCATTGACTCTGCCCCCCACCCCCCCCTTATTACCCCCCTACTTTTATTTCCCAGACTCTGTACCGTTCCCCCCCCTGTATATAGCCTCCCTACTGTTTTTTCCCCATGACTCTGTACGGTACCCCCCTGTAATAGCCTCCTACTGTTTTTTCCCATTTGACTCTGTGGGGGACCCCCCCCCCCCTGTATAAGCCTCCCTACTGTTTTTTTCCTTTGACTCTGTACCTCCCCCCCCCCCTGTAAAAACCTCCCTCTGTTATTTCCCTTGACTTTTCCCCGTACCCCCTTATATGCCCCCTACTGTTTTTTTCCCATTGCCCCCCTCGAAAACCCCCCGTAAAAAACCCCCAGTTAAGACTCCCCCCCCCCCCCCCCCCCCCTTATATAGCCTCCCTACTTTTATTTCCCTTTGACTCTGTACGGAAAACCCCCCCCCCTTTTCCCCCCCCCCGGGGTATTAGCCCCCCACTGTTATTTCCCCCATTGACTCTGTCCGGTACCCCCAAATATAGCCTCCCTACGTATTTCCCATTGCTCGTCCCGGCCCCCCCCCCCCCCCCTGTATAAGCCTCCCTACGTTATTTCCATTGCCTGTACCGGTCCCCCCCCCCGTTAAGCCCCCTACTGTTATTTTTCCCTTGACTTGTCCGTACCCCCAAACCCCCCCCCTGAAATTTTCCTCCCACTGTATTCCCTTGACTCGCCCCGGTACCCCCCCCTTATATACCCCTCCCTACTGTTATTTCCCATGATTTCTGTCCCGTCCCCCCCCCCCTGTATATAGCCCCCCACTTTTATTTCCCATTGACTCTGTACCGTCCCCTGATATAGCCCCCCACTTTTTATTTCCCATTGACTCTGTCCTCCCCCCCCGTATAGCCTCCCTACGTTTTTTTTCCCCTTGACTCGTCCGGTACCCCCCCCGGGAAATAGCCCCTACGTATTTCCCTTGACCTTTACCGGTACCCCCCCCCCTTATATAGCCTCCCTACTGTTTTTCCCATTGACTCTTACCTTTAACCCCCCCCCTGTATATAGCCCCCTATTTTATTTCCCATTGCTCGTACCGGTACCCCCGTATTGCCCCCACTTTTTTTTCCCTTGACCTGTACCGGGTACCCCCCCTGTATATCCTCCCTACTGTTATTTCCCATTACTTTTTCCCGGCCCCCCCCCCCCCTTTTATATGCCCCCTACTGTTTTTCCCATTACCTTTAGGTACCCCCTGTATTAGCCCCCACTTTATTTCCCATTGACTCTGTCCCGGTCCCCCCCCCTGTATATGCCTCCTACTTTTTTTCCCCCTTGACTCTGTACCGGGTCCCCCCCCCTTTTTAAGCCTCCCTACTGTTTTTTCCCCATTGCTCTGTCCCTTTACCCCCCCCAAAACCCCTGTTTAGCCTCCCTCGTTTTCCCATTGACTCTGTACCTTTAACCCCCCCCCCCCACGCCCCCCCGGTTTATATAGCCTCCCTCTGTTATTTCCCATTGACTCTGTCCCGGGGTACCCCCCCCCCCGTATATAGCCTCCCTACTGTATTTTCCCATTGACCTTCCCTACCCCTTATATGCCCCCTACTTATTTCCCTTTGGGACTCTGTACCGGGTACCCCCCTGTATAAGCCCCCCTCTTTTTTTTCCCATTGACTCTGTCCCGGGTACCCCCCCCTGTAAATTTAGCCTCCCACGTTATTCCCATTGACCTGTCCCCCAAACCCCCCCCTGATATAGCCTCCCTACTGTTATTTCCCTTACTCTGTCCCGGCCCCCCCTGTATATAGCCTCCCTACTGTTTTTTTTCCCTTGACTCTTCCCGTCCCCCCCCCCCTGAAAAGCCTCCCTACTGTTATTTCCCATTGATCGGCCCGGGTACCCCCCCCCCCCCCGTTATAGCCTCCCTACTTTTTTTCCCATTGCTCTGTACCGGTAAAAACCCCCCCCCCCCCCCCCTTTTTATAACCTCCCTCTTTTTTTTTCCCATTCTCTTCCCGGGTACCCCCCCCCCTTAATACCCCCCCACCCCGACCTGTACCTACCCCCCCCCCTTTTACCCACCCCGGCCCCCCTGTAAAACCCCCTCTGTTTTTCCCTTGACTCTGAAACCGGGTCCCCCCCCCCCTGTAAACCTCCTACTGTTTTTTTTCCCTTGCCTTTACCTACCCCCACCCCCTTAAAGCCCCCACGCCCTTTACCCCCGCGGTCCCCCCTTTTCCTCCCTCGTTTTTTCCCCTTGATCGTACCGGTACCCCCTTATTCCCCCTACTGTTATTTTCCCTTGACCTGTCCCGGGTCCCCCCCCCCCCTGTAATAGCCCCCTACTGTTTTTTCCCCCTTGACTCGTCCCGGTACCCCCCCCCTGTTTAAAGCCTCCCTACTGTTTTTTTCCCCCATTGACTCTGTACTGGTACCCCCCCTTATATAGCCTCCCACGTTTTTTCCCTTTGACCTTTTAGGGTCCCCCCCCCCTTTATTACCTCCTACTGTTTTTTTTTCCCATTGACTCTGTCCCGGGTACCCCCCCCCCTGTATTACCCTCCTACTTTTTTTCCCATTGACTCTGTCCGGTACCCCCCCACTGCCCCCCCTTATCCCCTACTTTTATTTCCCATTGACTCGTACCGGAACCCCCCCCCTTTTATACCTCCCTACTTTTTATTTCCCATTGACTCTGAAACCGGCCCCCCCCTTATATCCCCCACTTTTTTTTTCCCATTGACTCTGTACCGGTACCCCCCCCCTGTATACCCCCCCACTGTTATTTCCCTTTGACTTCAAAACCGGTACCACCCCCCTGTAATAGCCCCCCTACTGTTTTTTCCCCCCTTTTGACTTGTCCGGTCCCCCCCCCCCGTTAGCCTCCCTACTGTTATTTCCCCTTCCCCTTACCGGTACCCCCCCCCCCTGTATATACCTCCCTACTGTTTTCCATTCTCGTCCCGAAACCCCCCCGGGTTTGCCCCCCACCCCCAACCGGCCCCCTTTATCCCCCCTACTGTTTTTTCCTGCTCTTTTTAATTTTTGCCCTTTTTTATTTTTTGAAATGTTATTTTTTTGGTTTCTTTCATAAAACTGCTTGTTGGTTAAAGGCTCTCGTAAGCTTTCACTGAAAGGTCACCCCTGTTGTATTGGGCCATGGACAAAAAACCTTGATTTGATTGGGTTTTGGGCATTTTACTAGTGAGATCAAATCAAATCATTTTTGAGACACGTGGGCCACTTTACGTGTTGTAATAACCATCTAACCTTTGGATGAACAAAATTGGTTATGATTACTCCTAAATGGCACCCTTTCCCTATAAGGCCTCTTTTTAAACCAAGAATGGACCCTATTCCCCCATATAGTGCCTACTTTTTGACCAAGAAAGGACCCATCCCTATATATTCACTACTTTAACCAGAAAGGCACCCTTCCCCAAAAGTCACTACTTTTGACCAAAAGGGGACCCATTCCCTTTTAAATGCACTACTTTAACCAAAATGGCACCCTATTCCCTATATAGTGCACTACTTTAACCCAAAAATGCACCCTTTCCCCTATATTGCCTACTTTGACCCAAAAAGGCAACCCATCCCTATAAGTGCACTACTTTAGACCCGAAATGGCCCCCATTCCCCATAAGTGCACACTTTTGACCAAGAATGGCAAAACCCCATCCCTTTAGGCACTTCTTTGAAAAGAGAATAGCACCCATTCCCCCATATAGTCCTACTTTAAAAAAGAGAATCACCTTATTCCTATATATGCCTACTTAGAACAGAGAATAGCCCTTTTTCCCTATAGTGCACTCTTTAGACCCGAAAGGCACCCTATTCCCATATATGCACTACTTTAAACAAGGAAAAGCAACCCTATTCCCTATATATGCCTATTTTGACCCGAGAAGGAACCTGCACTACTTTAGAACAGAGAATAGCACCTATTCCCTATATAGTGCACTACTTTAGACCAGAGAATGGCACCCTATTCCCTATATAGTGCACTACTTTAGAACAGAGAATAGCACCCTATTCCCTATATAGTGCACTACTTTAGAACAGAGAATGGCACCCTATTCCCTATATAGTGCACTACTTTAGACCAGAGAATGGCACCCTATTCCCTATATAGTGCACTACTTTAGAACAGAGAATGGCACCCTATTCCCTATATAGTGCACTACTTTAGACCAGGGCCCATAGGGATCTATATAGGGAATAGGGTGCCATTCGACTATTGTCTCATGACTCGTGGTCAGTGTAAAATACACAGAACGTCATTTTTTTTTTTTTACACAATAGTGTTTTCTGTTAATCGTATCCCTGACATAGTTATTATTTGAACATTGAGTACATGAAGGCTAATCGAGGGGGTGTCAGCGCCCCTCCCATTCACAAGAAAAGGTTACTAGTGTTGAAATGTCTCAACGACATCTGTTGATAGTGAAAGAAATATGCCATGTGACAGAGTATTTCATGGCTATTAAATAGCAGAACCAGTCGTACAGACCACTGTCAGTCACAACCCTACTGGGAAGATGACAGCCATCATGATAACAGTAGCAGTACTGTTGCTTTTCATTCAAACCACCCTGGAGGCTCCTGAAACAGGTATGTTGTCCATCTCATTGGTTATTGGTTTACACCTGAAACAGGTATGTTGTCCATCTCATTGGTTATTGGTTTACACCTGAAACAGGTATGTTGTCCATCTCATTGGTTATTGGTTTACACCTGAAACAGGTATGTTGTCCATCTCATTGGTTATTGGTTTACACCTGAAACAGGTATGTTGTCCATCTCATTGGTTATTGGTTTACACCTGAAACAGGTATGTTGTCCATCTCATTGGTTATTGGTTTACACCTGAAACAGGTATGTTGTCCATCTCATTGGTTATTGGTTTACTCTGCAGAGGACAGCTCTTTAGGTCTAACTCCTGTTCTGTCTTGTCCTGGCAGCTTATTAGCCTAACCATTTGGCTGATCCAGAATCCCAATTGAGACCAAGGTCCATTTTTCAATGGGGCCCTGTATGTATGTGATAGTGTTATGTAGTCCTATAACAGTGTTATGTAGCCCTTGACAGTGTTACGTATCCTTATGCTAGTGTTATGTAGCCCTATGACAGTATAGTGTAGCCCTATAACAGGGTTATGTAGCCCTATGACAGGGTTATGTAGCCCTATGACAGGGTTATGTAGCACTATAACAGGGTTATGTAGCCCTATGACAGGGTTATGTAGCCCTATAACAGGGTTATGTAGCCCTATGACAGGGTTATGTAGCCCTATGACAGTGTTATCCTGTTAAATGTAATGTCAAAAGGTACATTTCCGCCTAAATAAGCATACCCAAAAGTAATTATTTATCATGAGAAGGCCATAAACAATACTTAGTAATATGTAATACTGCCAGAAAGATTACAATCTCACGTTTCTGGAATTTTCAAAAATAAATTGCTGAGGTGTAATCACTTTTGAGGACACAAGCTCAAGTACACAGTATAAATGTAATGAAAATATGAAAAATAATATATAATTTTTTTCCTGTTCAACAAAAGAGGGGGGAATAGGAATTAATAATAATAATATGCCATTTAGCAGACGCTTTTATCCAAAGCCACTTACAGTCATGTGCGCATGCATTTTTACGTATGGGTGGTCCCGGGGATCGAACCCACTACCCTGGCGTTACAAGCGCCGTGCTCTATCAGCTGAGCTACAGAGGACCACGATTGCAATGCTTTCTGAATATAGTAACAATCAAATTATAAACGACTTACTATAAGATTTCACATTTCTTATAACTGTAAAATAAATATGATCGTATTTAGTGACAGTACAAAATTGGCACCATTTCATATTACTGACAACAGAGCATTTTCTGCCCAGCGTCCTCTGTGTGATGCAGAGACGCCATTCAAATGCCTGCTGACTCATTACAACTTCAGCTTTTTAAGCACAAAGTGATTTAGTCCCTCTGTGACCAAGAGAAAGTGGTCTTGTTTCAGTTCTACAAAATTATTTTGTATTTTTTTCATGCTGAGAGCTAGAGAAGATCACGGCGAGATGAGTGCTGCAATCACACAGGCAGAGGAAATCGATCCTTTTGTCTGGATTGGCCAGAAAATGTGAGGTGTCGCTCCCTATGCAAATGAGGTGTCAGATTTCACATGCTGCGTCTCAGAGAGCAGCATGTGAAGCGGGACAACCGGAGCCTTCACACAGCAAATGATGTTGCGCCGTTTCACAGAGCGCTCTGTACACAAAAATGTTGGTCCGACTCACATCAATAATTTCAAAGCTCAATCATTTTCAATTACGCGTAATTTAAAAGCCCATTTCTTAGAGAGTGTTACAAACTGGGACTATGTTTTGTAACTTCCTTTGAAGAGTTGGTGATTGGGTCTAAATAGGCGTTGGTAGTCTAAATTCAGTGTACTTTTCTTTAACTACCATTTCCTGAAAGTCCGACTCTTCCGACACGTCAACACATTTTTTCTCAGCTTAGTGCCTTCAGAAGGTATTCACTACCTTTGGCAGGTTTGCAAAATCTCTAAGAGCTTTGCAAACCTGGATTGTACAATATCTGCCCATTTTATTATTTTGAAAATTCTTCAAGCTCTGTCAAGTTGGTTGTTGATCATTGCTAGACAGCCATTTTCAAGTCTTGCCATAGATTTAAGTCAAAACTAACTAGGCCACTCAGGAACATTCAGTGGCATCATTGTCAGAAAAACGTGTCTGTTTCTGGTCAGCTTGTGTTGTTGTCCTGCAGTAGCTAGCTTGCTAAATCGGCCCTTTCCTAAGGCATGGATGGGGATTTGGACTTGTGGTTTTGACTTAATTCTCTCTCCAGGCAATGTTTATGACGGCGATTCTGATCTAACCATAAATTAATATATTGTGCCACTGGCCTGAGACGATTGAAGTTCAATATGTAGCCTAGAAGTAACCTAGTAGGCTCATGTTAACTAACGTTAGCTAGCTAACTTAGCTGGTTCATTGTTGCGCACGCATGCAAGCACACACACACACACACACACACACACACACACACACACACACACACACACACACACACACACATACACAGAAATCAGCCCCATGGACACCCACATGATTCTTAGCAACATGATTGGACTAAATTGTTTGTTTTTGTGCATACACTGCCGATTTTGCAGGTTTTCCTACTTACAAAGCATGTAGAGGTCTGTAATTTTTATCATAGGTACACTTCAACTGTGAGAGACGGAATCTAAAACAAAAATCCAGAAAATCACATTGTATGATTTTTAAGTAATTCATTTGCATTCTATTGCATGACATACAGTGGGGGAAAAAAGTATTTAGTCAGCCACCAATTGTGCAAGTTCTCCCACTTAAAAAGATGAGAGAGGCCTGTAATTTTCATCATAGGTACACGTCAACTATGACAGACAAAATGAGATTTTTTTTCTCCAGAAAATCACATTGTAGGATTTTTAATGAATTTATTTGCAAATTATGGTGGAAAATAAGTATTTAGTCACCTACAAACAAGCAAGGTTTCTGGCTCTCACAGACCTGTAACTTCTTTAAGAGGCCCTCCTGTTCTCCACTCATTACCTGTATTAACTGCACCTGTTTGAACTCGTTACCTGTAAAAAGACACCTGTCCACACTCAATCAAACAGACTCCAACCTCTCCACAATGGCCAAGACCAGAGAGCTGTGTAAGGACATCCGGGATAAAATTGTAGACCTGCACAAGGCTGGGATGGGCTACAGGACAATAGGCAAGCAGCATGGTGAGAAGGCACCAACTGTTGGCGCAATTATTAGAAAATGGAAGAAGTTCAAGATGACGGTCAATCACCCTCGGTCTGGGGCTCCATGCAAGATCTCACCTCGTGGGGCATCAATGATCATGAGGAAGGTGAGGGATCAGCCCAGAACTACACGGCAGGACCTGGTCAATGACCTGAAGAGAGCTGGGACTACAGTCTCAAAGAAAACCATTAGTAACACACTATGCCGTCATGGATTAAAATCCTGCAGCGCACGCAAGGTCCCCCTGCTCAAGCCAGCGCATGTCCAGGCCCGTCTGAAGTTTGCCAATGACCATCTGGATGATCCAGAGGAGGAATGGGAGAAGGCCATGTGGTCTGATGAGACAAAAATAGAGCTTTTTGGTCTAAACTCCACTCGCCGTGTTTGGAGGAAGAAGGATGAGTACAACCCCAAGAACACCATCCCAACCGTGAAGCATGGAGGTGGAAACGTCATTCTTTGGGGATGCTTTTCTGCAAAGGGGACAGGACGACTGCACCGTATTGAGGGGAGGATGGATGGGGCAATGTATCACGAGATCTTGGCCAACAACCTCCTTCCCTCAGTAAGAGCATTGAAGATGGGTCGTGGCTGGGTCTTCCAGCATGACAACGACCCGAAACACACAGCCAGGGCAACTAAGGAGTGGCTCCGTAAGAAGCATCTCAAGGTCCTGGAGTGACCTAGCCAGTCTCCAGACCTGAACCCAATATAAAATCTTTGGAGGGAGTTGAAAGTCCGTATTGCCCAGCGACAGCCCCGAAACCTGAAGGATCTGGAGAAGGTCAGTATGGAGGAGTGGGCCAAAATCCCTGCTGCAGTGTGTGCAAACCTGGTCAAGACCTACAGGAAACGTACAGTGGGGGAAAAAAAGTATTTAGTCAGCCACCAATTGTGCAAGTTCTCCCACTTAAAAAGATGAGAGAGGCCAGCAATTTTCATCATAGGTACACGTCAACTATGACAGACAAAATGAGATTTTTTTTCTCCAGAAAATCACATTGTAGGATTTTTAATGAATTATTTGCAAATTATGGTGGAAAATATGTATTTGGTCAATAACAAAAGTTTCTCAATACTTTGTTATATACCCTTTCTTGGCAATGACACAGGTCAAACGTTTTCTGTAAGTCTTCACAAGGTTTTCACACACTGTTGCTGGTATTTTGGCCCATTCCTCCATGCAGATCTCCTCTAGAGCAGTGATGGTTTGGGGCTGTCGCTGGGCAACACGTACTTTCAACTCCCTCCAAAGATTTTCTATGGGGTTGAGATCTGGAGACTGGCTAGGCCACTCCAGGACCTTGAAATGCTTTTTACGAAGCCACTCCTTCGTTGCCCGGGCGGTGTGTTTGGGATCATTGTCATGCTGAAAGACCCAGCCACGTTTCATCTTCAATGCCCTTGCTGATGGAAGGAGGTTTTCACTCAAAATCTCACGATACATGGCCCCATTCATTCTTTCCTTTACACGGATCAGTCGTCCTGGTCCCTTTGCAGAAAAACAGCCCCAAAGCATGATGTTTCCATCCCCATGCTTCACAGTAGGTATGGTGTTCTTTGGATGCAACTCAGCATTCTTTGTCCTCCAAACACGACGAGTTGAGTTTTTACCAAAAAGTTCTATTTTGGTTTCATCTGACCATATGACATTCTCCCAATCCTCTTCTGGATCATCCAAATGCACTCTAGCAAACTTCAGACGGGCCTGGACATGTACTGGCTTAAGCAGGGGGACACATCTGGCACTGCAGGATTTGAGTCCCTGGCGGCGTAGTGTGTTACTGATGGTAGGCTTTGTTACTTTGGTCCCAGCTCTCTGCAGGTCATTCACTAGGTCCCCCCGTGTGGTTCTGGGATTTTTGCTCACTGTTCTTGTGATCATTTTGACCCCACGGGGTGAGATCTTGGATCTCCCAGATCGAGGGAGATTATCAGTGGTCTTGTATGTCTTCCATTTCCTAATAATTGCTCCCACAGTTGATTTCTTCAAACCAAGCTGCTTACCTATTGCAGATTCAGTCTTCCCAGCCTGGTGCAGGTCTACAATTGTGTTTCTGGTGTCCTTTGACAGCTCTTTGGTCTTGGCCATAGTGGAGTTTGGAGTGTGACTGTTTGAGGTTGTGGACAGTTGTCTTTTATACTGATAACAAGTTCAAACAGGTGCCATTAATACATTTAACGAGTGGAGGACAGAGGAGCCTCTTAAAGAAGAAGTTACAGGTCTGTGAGAGCCAGAAATCTTGCTTGTTTGTAGGTGACCAAATACTTAATAATTTGCAAATAAAATCATTAAAAATCCTACAATGTGATTTTCTGGATTTTTTTTTCTCAATTTGTCTGTCATAGTTGATGTGTACCTATGATGAAAATTACAGGCCTCTCTCATCTTTTTAAGTGGGAGAACTTGCACAATTGGTGGCTGACTAAATACTTTTTTCCCCCACTGTATATATACAGTGAGGGAAAAAAGTATTTGATCCCCTGCTGATTTTGTACGTTTGCCCACTGACAAAGAAATTATCAGTCTATAATTTTAATGGTAGGTTTATTTGAACAGTGAGAGACAGAATAACAACAAAAAAATCCAGAAAAACGCATGTCAAAAATGTTATAAATTGATTTGCATTTTAATGAGGGAAATAAGTATTTGACCCCCTCTCAATCAGAAAGATTTCTGGCTCCCAGGTGTCTTTTCTACAGGTAACGAGCTGAGATTAGGAGCACATTCTTAAAGGGAGTGCTCCTAATATCAGCTTGTTACCTGTATAAAAGACACCTGTCCACAGAAGCAATCAATCAATCCGATTCCAAACTCTCCACCATGGCCAAGACCAAAGAGCTCTCCAAGGATGTCAGGGACAAGATTTTAGACCTACACAAGGCTGGAATGGGCTACAAGACCATCGCCAAGCAGCTTAGTGAGAAGGTGACAACCGTTGGTGCGATTATTCGCAAATGGAAGAAACACAAAATAACTGTCAATCTCCCTCAGCCTGGGGCTCCATGCAAGATCTCACCTCGTGGAGTTGCAATGATCATGAGAATGGTGAGGAATCAGCCCAGAACTACACGGGAGGATCTTGTCAATGATCTCAAGGCAGCTGGGACCATAGTCACCAAGAAAACAATTGATAACACACTACGCTGTGAAGGACTGAAATCCTGCAGCGCCCGCAAGGTACCCCTGCTCAAGAAAGCACATATACAGGCCCATCTGAAGTTTGCCAATGAACATCTGAATGATTCAGAGGAGAACTGGGTAAAAGTGTTGTGGTCAGATGAGACCAAAATGGAGCTCTTTGGCATCAACTCAACTCGCCGTGTTTGGAGGAGAAGGAATGCTGCCTATGACCCCAAGAACACCATTCCCACCATCAAACATGGAGGTGGAAACATTATGCTTTTGGGGTCATAGGGACAGGACAACTTCACCGCATCAAAGGGACGATGGACGGCGCCATGTACCGTCAAATCTTGGGTGAGAACTTCCTTCCCTCAGCCAGGGCATTGAAAATGGGTCATGGATGGGTATTCCAGCATGACAATGACCCAAAACACACGGCCAAGGCAACAAAGGAGAGGCTCAAGAAGAAGCACATTAAGGTCCTGGAGTGGCCTAGCCAGTCTCCAGACCTTAATCCCATAGAAAATCTGTGGAGGGAGCTGAAGGTTCGAGTTGCCAAATGTCATGCTCGAAACCTTAATGACTTGGAGAAGATCTGCAAAGAGCAATGGGACAAAATCCCTCCTGAGATGTGTGAAAACCTGGTGGCCAACTACAAGAAAAGTCTGACCTCTGTAATTGACAACAAGGGTTTTGCCACCAAGTACTAAGTCATGTTTTGCAGAGGGGTCAAATACTTATTTCCCTAATTAAAATGCAAATCAATTCATAACATTTTTGACATGCGTTTTTCTGGATTTTTCTGTTGATATTCTGTCTCTCACTGTTCAAATAAACCTACCATTAAAATTATAGACTGATCATGTCTTTGTCAGTGGGCAAACGTACAAAATCAGTAGGGGATCAAATACTTTTTTCCCCTCACTGTGTATATATATATATATATTTATATATATATATATAATTATTGTAAAATTAACTCTGTCCATAAGGTGTAGATAGTAAGTATAGACCGGAAGTAGAGGCCTGGGCATTGTTGTTCACTAATTTAGGGAAAGGATGGTGGGGTTGAAAAGTAATAAAGGGGAGTATATATATATATTTTTTTAAACATGGGGGATTGGAAGTGATGCAGACAATTACATTGATAGAAGATACAATCTATCTGCAATATTAAGCTGATCCATTCCCCCAGAAAAAAAAAAGAATGTGAAATGTCAGAATAATAGTAGAGAGTGATTTATTTCAGCTTTTATTTATTTCATCACATTCCCAGTGGGTCAGAAGTTTACATACGCTTAATTAGTATTTGGTAGCATTGCCTTTAAATTATTTAACTTGGGTCAAACGATTCGGGTAGCCTTCCACAAGCTTCCCACAATAAGTTGGGTGAATTTTGGCCCTTTCCTCCTGACAGAGCTGGTGTAACTGAGTCAGGTTTGTAGGCCTCCTTGCTCGCACACGCTTTTTCAGTTCTGCCCACAAATGTTCTATAGGATTGAGGTCAGGGCTTTGTGATGGCCACTCCAATACCTTGACTTTGTTGTCCTTAAGCCATTTTGCCACAACTTTGGAAGTATGCTTGGGGTCATTGTCCATTTTGAAGACCCATTTGCGACCAAGCTTTAACTTCCTGACTGATGTCTTGAGATGTTGCTTCAATATATCCACATAATTTTCCTTCCTCATGATGCCATCTATTTTGTGAAGTTCACCAGACCCTCCTGCAGCAAAGCACCCCCACAGCATGATGCTGCCACCCCCGTGCTTCATGGTTGGGATGGTGTTCTTCGGCTTGCAAAGCAACCCCTTTTTCCTCCAAACATAAACAATGGTCATTATGGCCAAACAGTTCTATTTTTGTTTAATCAGACCAGAGGACATTTCTCCAAAAAGTACGATCTTTGTCCCCATGTGCAGTTGCAAACCGTAGTCTGGCTTTTTTATGGCGGTTTTGAAGCAGTGGCTTCTTCCTTGCTGAGTGGCCTTTCAGGTTATGTCGATATAGGACTCGTTTTACTGTGGATATAGATACTTTGGTACCTGTTTCCTCCAGCATCTTCACAAGGTCCTTTGCTGTTGTTCTGGGATTGATTTGCATTTTTCTTACCAAAGTACGTTCATCTCTAGGAGACAGAACGCGTCTCCTTCCTGAGCGGTATGACGGCTGCGTGGTCCCATGGTGTTTATACTTGCGTACTATTGTTTGTACAGATGAACGAGGTCTTGGCTGATTTCTTTTGATTTTCCCATGATGTCAAGCAAAAAGAAATTTGTGGAGTGATTGAAAAACGAGTTTTAATGACTCCAACCAAAGTGTTTGTAAACTTCCGACTTCAACTGACATTTAAAATGTATTAAATGTACATTTTGTGTCACTGATCTAACACAACAAAATGTGGAAAGTCCAGGCTTTCCGAAGGCGCTGTATATTCTCCATACTTGCCCAGAGTGTCACATTCATTTAATGACGGGTCAGACCAAGGCGCAGCTTGATATGCGTATATGTTTATTTTAACTGTTAAACACACGACAAAACAACAAAGGAAACGAAACGTGAAGTCCAAGGTAGCACACACAACATACCTTATCCGGAACAAGATCCCACAACTAGACTGTGCCAATAGGCTGCTTAAGTATGGTCCCCAATCAGAGACAACGAGCGACAGCTGCCTCTGATTGGGAACCTCACCGGCCAACATAAATCCACACATGCTAGATATACAACATAGAATATATACAAACAAAACATATAAGAGTCCCCTGAGTCAGGGCGTGACACAGAGGGAATTGTTGACATTGTCAATGATTTAGTCTAGATAACTTCCTTTGGAAAAAAAATGAATTTTACGTACGTTTTTAGTATTTTACAGGTAAAAAGATGACAAAAAGTATTCATCTACAATCTGCTCTGGACAAGTCCGGTCCTTGAATGTCTTAAAAAATGAAACCAAAATATTTAGTCTGACTTCATCCAGTGTCCAGAAAAAAAAAAAAAAAAAATCGATTTGCGCGATATCCAAATATGCACAATTTATTGAGATCACCTAATTTGCATACATTACCAGTCAAACGTTTGGACACACCTACTCATTCAAGGGTTTTAATTTATTTTAATATTTTCTATAGTGAAGAAATCATGTAGTAACCAGAAAAGTGTTAAACAAATCAAAAACCTTCCGGAGACACTTGAAACCCCACCTCTTTAAGGAATACCTGGGATAGGATAAAGTAATCCTTCTACCCCCCTTGCCCCCCCCCCCCCCCCCCCCCCCCCCCCCCCCAAAAAAAAAGATATAACATACAAAAAATACACAAATAATTATATTGTAAAGTGGTTATCCCACTGGCTATCATAAGGTGAATGCACCAATTTGTAAGTCACTCTGAATAAGAGCGTCTGCTAAATGATGTAAATGTAATATTTGAGATTCTTCAAATAGCCACCCTTTTGCCTTGATGACAGCTTTGCACACTCTTGGCATTCTCTCAACCAGCTTCACCTGGAATGCTTTTCCAACAGTCTTGAAGGAGTTCCCACATATGCTGAGCACTTGTTGGCTGCTTTTCCTTCACTCTGCCGTCCGACTCATCCCAAACCATCTCAATTGGGTTGAGGTTCGGGGGATTGTGGAGGCCAGGTCATCTGATGCAGCACTCAATCACTCTCCTTCTTGGTAAAAAAAACCCTTACACAGCCTGGAGGTGTGTTGGGTCATTGTCCTGTTGAAAAACAAATGATAGTCCCACTAAGCCCAAACCAGATGGGATGGCATATCGCTGCAGAATGCTGTGGTAGCCATGCTGGTTAAGTGTGCCTTGAATTCTAAATAAATCCCAGACGGTGTCACCAGCAAAGCACCCCCACACCATAACACCTCCTCCTCCATGCTTTATGGTGGGAACTACACATGCGGAGATCATCTGTTCACCCACACCGCGTCTCACAAAGACATGGCGGTTGGAACCAAAAATCTCAAATTTAGACTCCAGACCAATGGACAAATTTCCACCGGTCTAATGTCCATTGTTCATGTTTCTTGTCCCAAGCATGTCTCTTCTTCTTATTGGTGTCCTTTAGTAGTGGTTTCTTTGCAGCAATTTGACCATGTAGGCCTGATTCACACAGTCTCCTCTGAACAGTTGATGTTGAGTGTCTGTGACTTGAACTCTGTGAAGTATTTATTTGGGCTGCTATTTCTGAGGCTGGTAACTCTAATGAACTTATCCTCTTCAGCAGAGGTAACTCTGGGTCTTCCTTTCCTGTGGTGGTCCTCATCAGAGCCAGTTTCATCACAGCACTTGATGGTTTTTGCGACTGCACTTGAAGAAACGTTCAAAGTTCTTGACATTTTCCGTATTGACTGACCTTCATGTTAAAGTAATGATGGACTGTCGTTTCTCTTTGCTTATTTGAGCTGTTCTTGCCATAATATGGACTTGGTCTTTTACCAAATAGGGCTATCTTCTGTATACCCCCCTACCGTTACACAACACAACTGATTGGCTCAAACGCATTAAGAAGGAAATAAATTCCACAAATTAACTTTTAAGAAGGCACACCTGTTAATTGAAATACATTCCAGGTGACTACCTCATGAAGCTGGTTGAGAGAATGCCAAGAGTGTACAAAGCTGTCATCAAGGCAAAGGTGGCTACTTTGAAGAAAAAATAAAATAATGGTTACTTCATGATTCCACATGTGTTACTTCATAGTTTTGATGTCTTCTCTATTATTCTACAATGTAGAAAACAGTAAAAATAAGAAAAACCCTGGAATGAGTAGGCGTGTCCAAACTTTGACTGGTACTGTATGTTAATAGCATGTATAGTAAAATGTGAAGAAGTGTTATATTTGGGTTTACATTGAACCGGTAAAAGTTGATTTTGAAATGATTAAGGGAAAACAATTCCTTATGAGGGTGTGTTGCCTGGCCTTAAGAGGATTTATGTAGCCCTATAACAGGGGTATTTAGCCCTATGACAGTGTTATGTAGCCCTATAACAGGGTTATGTAGCCCTATAACAGGGTTATGTAGCCTTATGACAGGGTTATGTAGCCCTAAAACAGGGTTATCTAGCCCTATAACAGGGTTATGTAGCCCTATAACAGGGTTATGTAGCCCTATGACAGTGTTATGTGGCCCTATGACAGGGTTATGTAGCCCTATGTCAGTGTTATGTCGCCCTATGACAGGGTTATGTAGCCCTATGACAGTTAAAAAGCACTTCTGAAAGAGGGTTCAATTAAAGTTAAAATGTTTGCCTGTTATGTCAGTGCTGGTTAGTGATTTTGTTTTTGTAATTTTCCTTTGTAGACGGTCCCTTCATTCTCTTCAATGCAGCCAGTGGCATTAAACAGGGTCTGGCACGTTGGGTGTCAGGGGGACGTCTCTACTACCCCAGCATTAGGAAGTGTGCTGGGGTCTCTGGGAAGAAAGAGGGTAGTACCCTGGTGTTTTCTGACTGTGATGAGAATAGCCACCTCCAGCAGTGGGAGTGTAGTAACCACACACTGCTCAATCTGAAAGGACAGACTCTGTACCTCCACATCAACGACAACAATGATCGGGTGCTGTCCAGAGACATGGGGCCTCGGAGTCGCTGGATCGTCTTCGGTACAACGGACGGCCCCTGCTCAAGGACCCACAGAGGTACGGGATTTCTCATTTATTAGGATTTTACACAAAGTCTCAACACATTTCACAAGAAGCAAGGTTAAAGGCAGGTTACATATAACTCCCTGACCAAGGCCCTTCTCCCCCGATTGCTCACATAACTACATCTGACAGTAGTTTAGTTTTTTTGTTTGTTTAATAATTCAACCATTAAAAAAAATCAAGCACACATAAAACTTGAAAAAGCCGTACATGCACATGAGTAAAATCATGGAGGAAAACACACATTACAGTCTGGGACTTCTTTCCATGGTGGTCCTCCGGAGACAAGATGGCTGGCAAGATGGAACACAGTATGACAACCAGATTATAAAACAAAAAACGAAGAAGAAGAACATCTATCTCATCATTGCAGTTACATCGTAGGGGTCATTCATATGGGCACAGAAGACATCAAACAGGTTTTTACTTTTTAAGCTGCCCAGAGAGGACGTCGTTTTTCTGGGCAGAGGCAGCTCATTCCACTCTGAGGCTCCAGTATACGTGATAATACCTTTCCCAGCATTACCCCTGAACCTGTATAAGCACACATTAGCAACAGCTGATCTGGCGCTGTGATTGTTTGCATCCCTAACACGGGGAAAGTAATCACTTAGATAGTACATTTTAACGACTGCAGGTTACACATAACTACATTTGACAGTACATTTTATTGGAAAAAAAAACAACCTACATATTTTCCCCGGGAAAACCACAAGTAAGAACCCCACACCAAACACACCACAGGGACACACCCCCAAAAAGGAAAAAAGGGACAGACCACAACGTGTCCCCAAATATGTTTAAATAGGGGGCCAATTCCCAACAAGGGCACCCGGGGGGGAAGGGGGGGCCCGGGGGGGGGAGAGGGGCAGGGGGGGGGGGGGCGGGAGGCGGGGGCAAAGGGGGGGCGGGGAGGGGGAGAGGGCAGGGGGGGCAGAGGGAGGGGGGCAGGGGGGCAGGGGGAGGGGGCAGGGGGCGGGGGAGGGGGGGGGGGCAGGGGGCAGGGGGGGGCAGGGGAGGGGGCGGGGGCAGGGGGCGGGGGGAGGGGGCGAGGGGCAGGGGGCAGGGGGCAGGGGGGCGGGGGGCAGGGGGAGAGGGGAGGGGGGGGAAGGCAGGGGGAGGGGGGGCAGGGAGGGGGGACAGGGGCAGGGGAGGGAGGGCAGAGGGGCAGGAGGGGGGGGGGAGAGGGGCAGGGGGGCAGGGAGGAGGGGGGAGAGGGGCAGGGAGGCAGAGGGGAGAGGGGCAGAGGGGAGGGAGGGAGGGGGAAAGGGGGGCGAGGGGCAGAGGGGCAGGGAGGCAGGGGGGCAGGGAGGAGGGGGCAGAGGGGCAGGGGGGCAGAGAGGCGAGGGGCAGAGGGGAGGGAGGGAGGGGGGAAGGGAGGGCAGCGGGGCAGAGGGGCAGGGAGGAAGGGGGGCAGGGAGGAGGGGGGCAGAGGGCAGGGGGGAGGAGGAGAGGGGAGGAGGGGCAGGGAGGCAGGGGGGCAGGGAGGCAGGGGGCAAGAGGGGCAGGGGGGCAGAGAGGCAGGAAGGGGCAGAGGGGCAGGGAGGGAGGGGGGCAGGGAGGCCGAGGGGCAGAGGGGCAGGGAGGCAGGGGGGGGGAGGGGGGCAGGGGGGCAGAGGGGGGAGGGGGGCGGGAGGCAGAGGGGCAGGAGGCAGAGGGGCAGTAAAACCTTGGGGGTGAAACCTACGTCACACTGAGCACTTAACCACATAGCAACACCCACACACACACACTCACACACTCACACCACTCCAAGTAACCCCTTGTCCACTGTTTCCTTCAGAACTCTTTACCATCGGAAGGAAACGCATTTGAGCAGCCCTGTTCAGTTTCCCTTCCTGGACAAAGACCAATGGTAATCGGAGACTGTACCGTGATGGTGACGCCTCTGGTTGGAACGCCCTCTGGTGTTGCCACCGAAACAAACATACCAAGACAATGAAATGTGGGGCTACTGTCCATCCAAATAACTGAGTATACCATCCTGTTTACGTACTGTGGGTCAATATAACGCACCTGTTAGATAGTGCTACTATTTTCTTTCTCTCTCTCCTCTCTCTCCTCTCCCTCTTCTCTCTCTCTCAGCCGCTCGCTTCTCTTCTCTCTCTCTCTCTCGATCTCTCTCTCTCTCTCTCTCGAGCTTCTTCCTCTCTCTTCTCTCTCCTCTCCTCTGTCTCTCTCTCTCTCTCTCTGTCTCTTCTCTCTCTCTCTCTCTCCTCTCTCTCTCTCTCTCTCTCTCTCTCTCTCTCTGTCTCTCTGTCTCTCTGTCTCTCTTCTCTTCTCTCTCTCTCTCTCTCTCTGTCTCTGTCTCTGTCTCTGTCTCTCTCTCTCTCCCTCATCCCTCATCCTCATCCTATAGCTATGGAGCATTGGCATAAGAACCCAGTCACAGGTGCATTCTACCAGGTGAACCTCCGCTCTGCCCTGACCTGGCACCAGGCTCGGACCAGCTGCCAACAGCAGGGAGCAGACTTGGCCTCAATCACCGCACCCCACGAGCAGAGCTACTTATCAGGTAGTGCCACCTGGTGGCCATGCTCACATTCACATACATCAGGCGTGTCAAACTCCAACCCTGGAGGGCCGAGTTGTCTGCTGGTTTTTATTTCCTTTCAATTCAAGACCTAGCTTAACGAATCAATCAAGTAGAAGGAAGGAGCGAAAACCTGCAGACATTCTGTCCATTAGGACTGGAGTTAGAGACGTCCACCATTCTAAAGCACTACTGGAGTTAGAGACGTCCACCATTCTAAACACTACTGGAGTTAGAGACGTCCACCGTTCTAAACACTACTGGAGTTAGAGACGTCCACCGTTCTAAAGCACTACTGGAGTTAGAGACGTCCACCATTCTAAACACTACTGGAGTTAGAGACGTCCACCGTTCTAAAGCACTACTGGAGTTAGAGACGTCCACCGTTCTAAAGCACTACTGCTATTCAAATCTGCACAGCAGTCTTCTTACAGCCCAGTATATACACACTTCCTTCCACATAATATCATGTACTACTGTGTTTATTAGTGTACTGTTCATGTACTATTTATGTCACATGCAACTTTCTCTCCTTCTCTGTCTTACACACAGGCCTGGTTGGTAGAGAGCATGTGCCGCTGTGGACGGGGCTGAACGCTCTGGAGCAGGACAGTGGGTGGCAGTGGAGCAGTGGAAAGCCCCTCCGCTACTTCCGCTGGGACTCGGGTGAGTTCTCACCTTTTCACTGTTCCCTTTACGGTGCACTACTTTGACCAGGGTCTGTTGCACTATATAGGGAATAGGGTGCACCATTTTGGACACAGATTAGATGGGACGTCACAATGAGACTTTACATTTTATGGGACTCTGGTGAGAACATTAAGCATTTGTTAATGTTACGATTCTTGTTGTTGTTAGTCTTCAGATGTAGTGATATATCTGTTGTTAGTCTTCAGATGTAGTGATATATCTGTTGTTAGTCTTCAGATGTAGTGATATATCTGTTGTTAGTCTTCAGATGTAGTGATATCTGTTGTTAGTCTTCAGATGTAGTGATATATCTGTTGTTAGTCTTCAGATGTAGTGATCTATCTGTTGTTAGTCTTCAGATGTAGTGATCTATCTGTTGTTAGTCTTCAGATGTAGTGATATATCTGTTGTTAGTCTTCAGATGTAGTGATATATCTGTTGTTAGTCTTCAGATGTAGTGATATATCTGTTGTTAGTCTTCAGATGTAGTGATATATCTGTTGTTAGTCTTCAGATGTAGTGATCTATCTGTTGTTAGTCTTCAGATGTAGTGATATATCTGTTGTTAGTCTTCAGATGTAGTGATATATCTGTTGTTAGTCTTCAGATGTAGTGATATATCTGTTGTTAGTCTTCAGATGTAGTGATCTATCTGTTGTTAGTCTTCAGATGTAGTGATATATCTGTTGTTGTTGTTTGTCTGTAGGTCACCCTCTCCCTGATCCTGGTCAGATCTGTGGACTGGTCAACCCGGCTCAGCAGTCCTACTGGCAGAGCTCCCTGTGCTCCAAGTCACTAGGCTACGTCTGTCAGAAAGACCCACCTACAGCCCCTGTTCAGCCAGGTACGTCTGTCAGAAAGACCCACCTACAGCCCCTGTTCAGCCAGGTACGTCTGTCAGAAAGCCCACCTAGAGTCCCTGTTCAGCCAGGTACGTCTGTCAGAAAGACCCACCTACAGCCCCTGTTCAGCCAGGTACGTCTGTCAGAAAGACCCACCTACAGCCCCTGTTCAGCCAGGTACGTCTGTCAGAAAGACCCACCTACAGCCCCTGTTCAGCCAGGTACGTCTGTCAGAAAGACCCACCTAGAGCCCCTGTTCAGCCAGATCCAACACTCCATTCTACTCTGCTCAATTCATTTCAGACTAGTCCAGTCCATTTTAGTCTAGTCCAGTCTAGTCTAGTCCAGTCCATTTCAATCCAGTCCAGTTCGTTTTGATTCTGTTCAGTCCATTTCAGTCCAGTCTAGTCCAGTTCAGTTCTTTATGATTTGATTTGGTTTAGTATGGGCAGGTGTATTTGTTGTAGCACAGTATTCTTAAATGTGTTTCCATGTGTTTGTGATCATCAGAAGAGGCAGGTTCATGCTCCGGTCCGTGGATTCCCTACGCTGCCAGGTGCTACCGCCTCCAGCGCACTAAGAAGACCTGGACAGAGGCTCAGATGGAATGTCGCAAGGACGGAGGCGACCTGGCCAGCATCCACAACATCGAGCAGCACAGCTTTGTGATGTCACAGCTGGGATATGGTCAGTGAAACACTGATACGCTAGAGTTCGCACGTTAGACAGTGAGTGAAAAGGGTAACTCCAACTCACCTCTCCTCTTCCCACCTCCCCTCCCCTCCTCTCCTCTCCTCTGTCCCAGCGGCCGCTGACGAGCTGTGGATCGGGATGAACGACGTCAAGACGCCCCTACTGTTTGAGTGGAGCGACCAATCCCCTGTCCCTACACCAGGTGGGGAAGCCATGCTAAGGGGGGGCAACTGTGTCCTGGTCAGGGGAGAGGTATGGTATGCACCCCCTGTACCAATCACCCCCCCCAGACTGCCCTAACCCTAACCCTGGCCCTAACCCTGGCCCTAACCCTGGCCCTAACCTAACCCCCCACTAAACCCGGCCCTAACCCTGGCCCTAAACCCCGGCCCTAACCTAAAACCCCCTAACCCTGGCCCCAAACCTGGCCCCAAACCCCGGCCCTAACCCTGGCCCTAACCCTGGCCCTAACCCTAACACCCCCTAACCTAACCCCCTAACCCATAACACCCCTAACCCTGGCCCTAACCCTAACAAACCCCCTAACCTAACAAACCCTCTAACCCTAACAACCCCCTTAAACCCACCCCCTAACCCTAAACCCCCTAACCCTAACACCCCCTAAAACCCCCTAAAAACACCCCAAACCCCTAACAACCCCTAACCCTACCACCCCCTAACCCTAACAACCCCTAACCTGCCCCCTAACCCCCCTAACCCTAACACCCCCCTAAAAACCAACACCCCCTAACCCTCCCTAACCCTAACACACCCTAACCCTACACCCTAACCCAAACACCCCCCCTAACCAACCCCCTAACCCAACACCCCCCCTAAACCCCCTAACCCCATAACCCAACCCCCTAACCCTAAACCCCAACCCCCTAAACCAACACCCAACACTAACACCCCTAACACCTAACCCCAACACCCCCTAACCCCAACCCCCTAACCCCAACACCCCCCCTAACCTAAACCCCCTAACCTAACCCCCTAACCCTGCCCTAACCCTAAACCCCTAACCTAACACCCCCAACCCTAACACCCCTAACCCTAACCCACCTAACACCCCTAACCTAACCCCCCCTAACCCCGGGCCCAACCCAAAACCCCCCTAAACCCTAACATTACCCCCCCCCCTAAAAAAACCCCTAACCCAAACCCCCTAACCCTAACACCCCTAACCCAACACCCCAACCTTACCCAACCCTAACACCCCTAAACCCAAAAACCCGAACCTAAACCCTAACACCCCCTAACACCCCCTAACCCTCAAAACCCCACCCTAACACCCTAACCCTAACAAAACCCCCTAACCCTAACACCCTAACCAAACCCTAACCCACCCCCGAACCTCTAACACCCCCTAAACCCTTTAACCAACCTAACCACCCCCTAACCCTAACACCCCTAACCCAAACCCCCCTAACAAACACCCTAACCCTAACACAAACCCAAACCCCAACCTAAAACCCCCCCTAAACCCACCCCCTAACCTAACACCCCCTAACCACCCCTAACACTAACCCTAACCCTAAACCCCCTAACCCCCGCCCAACCCTAACACCCCCTAACCCTAACCCCCCTAAACCCCACCCCCCCTAACCCTAACCCCCCTAACCCTAACCCCCCTAACCAACCCCCTACCCCCCCCACCCCC